ACCAATCCCCACGGAAAGGCCGTGCGAAAAAAAGCCACAAAACGCTGGGCAACCGTTGCTTTGGACCTATCTCTGCCAGCAAAGGCAGGGCAGCTCAACGGCCCGGGTGCAGGAGAGGGTCAGGACTCCTGGCCCGCAGTATGAACCTTGCCAGTGTTGGCGTGGGTCAACCCCTTGCTTGGGGAACAACCATCAGCTCTGGCAGCTTGGCCATTCCTCGCTGCTACCTGCAATTTTGGCACCTCAAGAAACAGACTCTCAGGAGCACCAAGGATGTGCAACCGCCTCTTCCAGCATCTCTGAAGGTTGAAGGGGGATGATTTGGGCTTTCAGGCCACCAGCTCAAGGGCTCGGAAACAAAAAGCTCCCACTCTGTTCGTGCCAGAGTTACAAAACAAGGATATTTTCTCCCTTTCAGAAGGGTGGAGGTTTGCTGAGCTTCTCAGCCAGAGGATTGCTTCGGGACATGCGTATTCATAACACTGGCAAAACGACTGTCCTCTCAAGCGCCGTGTGAAGCAGAAGTCCTCCTGAGGCAGCAAAAGCAACATGCGTCTGATTCAGACTTTCCAATTATACTGGGCATTGTGTCGAAAGCAGCAGAAACTATTTTTGCAATGGGCTGTGGGGTGGGAAATAGCAAGCAACCAGAAGTAGGTCAACCAAAAGTCCTCCCTGAGCTGCAAAGCTGATGAGCTGTCGGACCGGCAAACGTCAACAGCCTGCTTGGGTCTCTCCATGCCTGTGGAGCACAACCAGTAACGCTCCCAGCCACCAGTAACCTCAGGGTTAGAGACATACGCTGAAACGCATGACTGTGTCTTGCAGACGCCCTTTTCTCATAGAAGCCTCAATTTTGGGCAATATATCCAAATTCAAATGTCTTGATTTTCAGTTGTAAAGGGCTCACTTTTTTTTTTTTTTTAGAAAATGTTCAAAATTCTGCCATATGAGTATTTATAGACAAGGCAAGCAAAAATATTTCCACATTTTGCACTGCAAAAGAGGGGTTTCTCTTTCTTTTAAGCAGCAATGAAACAGTTTGGAGCTCTGTCCTCACCGTCTACAGAGCTGACCCCGCCTGTGTGGCAGAAGCGTTGCAAAACCTCCTCTGGAGTTTTTACAGATTATATATATATATTTCTGCTAGAAAATTCAACAGGAGGGCTTCAAAATAACAACAACAACAAAAAAAGGATCTCATTCCCTATTCAGCGTATACTTTGAAAAACAGTTTCTGTGGAGCCCAATTAAACGTCTGTGGAGCACCTACAGCTATCACATTCACCAGTAACTCACAGGGAGAAACTCTTTCAAACCACCCCAAAAGGTAAAAGACAATCATCTGCAGCCAGCCTGTGTCCTCTTCCAGTCCTGGATGGGCTGGCCATAGCTCCACGTTTTCCCATCAGGAATTAGGGATGTGCCTTGCAGATGCATGGCCAGAGCCTGTGCCAGAGAACTGACCCCACAGAGGGTTCTCTGCCACCCCCCCTGCTGTGACTCAGTTTCCCTAGATATATATAAAAAAAAGGCAAATGGATGGAAAGCCTTGGGAGTGGCACGTCAGCGAAACCACCAGCTTCCTTTG